ACAGCAACTTGTCTGTTCCCCTTCCCCCAATTCCCCAAGCACTGTTCCTATCCCCCCAATTACCCAATAAAAATCTTAAAAAAAAAAATAATAAGTTAGGCCCACAGGAATCTAACCAATTAAAATGAAGTATTGAGGTCATAATAAAAGATCATTAAACATACAAGAAGATAAGGCACTAAGATGGGAAATCAGAAAAAAACAACAAATAAATTATTTAGACCACCTAAAGACTGTGTATATTAAAACTAAAAGATACAGAACATAGAGTAACTGCATTTGAAATATTTAATAAAATAAAAGACTTGATCACAAAGATGATAAATTAACAAGAAAGTGTTAGGTATAGACAGATGGAGCTGGAAAATCAAGCATCAAACAGAATTGCCTGAAATGAAAAAATATAACAGTTGCTATAAAAACTGCTTTAAACAGTAATATACATAAAGTTGAAGAGAGGATTAAGAAATTGGAAGATACATCTGAAGAAATTACCCAGAATACCAAAAGAGAGATAAGGAGATGAAAGATATGCAAGACACATTAAGAGATAGGGAGGACAGATTGAGAAAGTATAACATATGTCTAATTAGAATGCCAAAAGGAAACAATAGAAAGAATGAAGGAGAGGCAATAATTAAGGAGATTATGGCTGTAATTTTTCAAGAATTAGCAATTCTTATTCTAATCTTCATGTCGTTCAAGAACTGAAGAAAAATATAAATCCATAGACTTGGGAAGCATAACATATTCCAAGCAAGATAAATGCAAAGAAATCCATGTCTAGCACATGGTAGTAAATCTGCACAACATGAAAGGCAACAGAAGATGGAAAAGCAGCTAGAGATTACTTACAAAGAAATAATAGTAGGGATGACAGCTGGCTTTATAGTGTAATAATACATTTAATATGCTGAGGGACAAAACCTGTCAATCTAAAATTGTGTACACAGCAAAACTATCTTTCAAGAACAAGAAATGAAGACAATTACAGATAAACAGAGGCCAAATGAATTTACCATGAAGGAACTACAGGAACATCTAAAGAATGTACTTTAGGTCACCTGAAACTAATATAATATTGTATGTCAACTGTAATTGAAAAAAAAGTATAATAAAAAAAGAAAAAAAAAAAGAATGTACTTTAGGAAGAAATAAAATGATTGCAGAATAACAAACTGATAAGTTGTATGTAAACCCAATTATATACTGTTTATATAATAATACTGATACTGATAATCATGTCTAACTAGGGTTAAAAATCAAGGTCAGGACTAAATACCAATCAACAATAACATGTAAGGCCCGAGGAGGGGTGGAAAGGAGTTAAAATAGTCTAAGTTCCTTGTATTTTGCTGGATTAGGTTTAGGATATTGTTTAGCTTTGGGCTTTGTTAAGTTCAGTAGACTTACTAATTACCAAGGGTAATCACCAAGAGAACAGAAATAACATTTACACATTTCAAAAATGGAGAAAAAAAATGAACATAAGCTTTCTGATTCAGAATCTGGAACTCTTTTCCCTAAAAAGAGATAAGGGGCAGATTACTTACAAAGGTATGACAGTAAGAATGACAGATGACTTTACAGTACAATAATACATTTAGCCTGTGAGGGACAAAACCTGTCCCTCTCTTTACACAAGTTGTGGGGAGTTGGGGCAGTCCCAGGTTCCATCCAGAGGTCAGAGGATGCTGGCACCTGCTGGGCTTGGATCATAGAGCAGAGTCCCACCTTCCCCATCACTCTCACACACCTGTTGTTGGGGCTGAAGATGAAAAATGCACTGGCTTCTGGCATGGGCACTGCCTTTTCCTTAAGGTGCAGCTCAGACAGCGGTCGTGGGCGAGGGCCCACGGGCATCTCAGGCTCCTCCTCATCTTCGTCTCCTGTAAGAAAAAAAGCACCATTCTAAATAATTCCACTACTCCCACTTATTTTTACCACTGTGCTGCTTACTTTCAGATTCCTTCCTACTGACAGGAATCAATACATCATTTATATCTCTGAAAATGGAGTGTGCCACCCAAGACAGACACTCAGCTCTCTCCCTGTGGGCACTGCTGGAGTTCATTTATGTTAGAGAAAGACTTTCCTGGCAGCACACAATAAGGGGGGTTGTGAGTAGGGTGACTAACTCATGCTGACTTTCCCAGGACTGGCCTGGTTTTGAAACTGAAATTCCCACATCCAAGGAAATCCCTGAGTCCCATGCAATTTGGGATGGTGGGTAAAACTAGGGCATTGTCAGATGTACTCTGCATCCATCTAGGCTGCAGGTAGGGAAAATGGAGTGGCTTAGTTGACTTGTGTGATCCCTTGCAAAAAAATCCCATCCTTGAAGGTTCCAGGAGTTTAGAATCAACACTCCCCATTCCTGAAAATCCAAAAGGATCATGTGCTGTAGGGACAATAGGGAAACAATGCTGACTGCAACAGGCCCTTCATTCAAAGGTCTGGACACTGACACCAATTAAAGAAGCTCCTTTGTTCTCCCAGCCAGTGGCTACATTTAATGTGGACCAAAAGCAAATGGCTCCCTCCTTTGCTTGCAAGGAGATCAGTGCATGCCCGTTCTGATCAAACATTTAAAGTGTTTAGAAGGGGGATGGGAGTTAAGAGCATGGGCTCTCCATCCAATGCCTTGATCCAAATCTTAGCTCTGTTTCTTTCTGGCTATGGGCATTTTATTTAGTCTCTTGGTGCCTTAGTTTCTCCATATGTAAGATGGAGTAATTGTTCTTACATGCCTCTGAATGGTGCTAAGCACATAGCAGGTGCTATATAAATACTAACTCTTGTTATTACCATCTTTACCCATGGGAGAGACTCGTAGCCTGTAGATTAGTGTTTATCATCTTTCTCAGTCTAATCAGGGGCCTGCTGTTATTCCCTGACAAACTTTCCACTCACATCAAGCTATTTCCTGAACACTCACTGCAGTGGGCTGAATAATGCCCACAAAATTCATGCCCTCCTGGAACCATAGAATGCTACATCGTTTTGGAAATACCATTTTTGCAGACATAATTAGTTCTGATGGAGTCATGCTGGACTGAGATGGGCCCTAAGTCCAAGGACTGTTGTCCTTTGAAGGAGAGATGCAGAGACACAGAGAGAAGGCGTGTGAAGATAGGCAGGGCTGGGGTGATGCAGCCCAGGAAATGAGCACACTCACCATGTGCTTTCTCCTTTCCTCACGCTCTCTCTCTAATTGAACTGCCCTTCATCTCACTCTCTGCAAAGCTAATGGCAATTTAATGTTTATCTTAATCATTTGTATTTGTGGAAAAACGTATTTACTAGCTTTGTGTTTTCCTAAGTTGCTAATGAAGAGTTTTGCATGTTCTTCCACCTGCAGTAGTCTACCTCACTGTTTATGAAGTTTTACATCAATTTCCATTCCTGGGGAGAAGCAAGTCAGTTGGTCCATTCAGACACACACCAGCTGAATTTCAGCCACATGTTTAAGGAGAAACTATTTCTGAAGGACAAGCTCAAATTTGTAAAGGGACAGAAATTTGACAGCATGTGATGCTTTGCATGTATTATGTATAAGGAGAGAGGCTGACAGATTAAGAAAAGTCAGGTAAAGTTCATTTTGGGGATTGGCAGCTGAATCTCGTAGCCTCCCACTCCCAAATGCCAGTGGAACCCGTTGGGAGGATGTCGTTATTTTCCCATCTCTATTCCTGGCGGTTTGGTAAAGTGTGATAAGTGAGGTCCTGTTGCACTGTGGAGTTGCTATGGCTTTTCAGATGGTAGGTTACAGCATTCAATAGTAAAATCACTGTATATTTTAGCATGGCCCCAGATTTCACTAGCAGCGAAAAGGTAATGCATGATTAGTAAGGCTGAATATCCTGAGAGGAATTGTGCAGGGAGAGACTGAGAGAGAAGGCCAAAGACGCTCTTTCTGCATCTGGTATCTTCTCTTTATTGGCTCATCTCAAAAACTCAGTCACCCTTTATTCCTTGTTTTCTTGCTGCAACTTCTAAGCCATTGATCAGTCCAGTTGGCCATTCCTGCAAAGAGCACCAAAGTCTCACCACTTCTCTGTATCTCCCTGGCCCAAGCCAGATAGCTGCATGAGTGTCCCTACTGTCCCAGTTCGATTCTGGACCATCTACTGCCCCTTTTCACACAGCAGCCAGAGTGAGTCTTTTAAAGGGTGAACTGGACATCAGGTCATGTCCTCCTCTGCATGAGGTGTTTCTCTACTGCATCAGATCAGATCAATCTCTCACGTGGCTTGCAGGCCCTGCACACCTGCTCCAGCCTAGCCCTGGTCTCGTGCTCTAGTCCTGTCTACTCTTCTTCTCTGTTCCAGGCACAGCAGCCTCTTTAGATTCCTCCACAGACCTCCCACCTCAGAGGCTCTGCACTTGCTAACCCCTCCAGCTAGAAAGCCCTACCTCTGATTCCCATACATCGAGTTCCTTTCACTCATTCAGGTTTCAGCCCAAATGTTGCATCCTCAGAGAGGCCTTTACTGATCTTACAGCCAAAGCAGCACCCCAGTAACTCAAGAGAAACAAAGGCCTGGGTATGAAGGAGGGCAGAGAAGGGTGGCCATGTGATCAGGGAAAAGTCACACTCTAAAACAATCTAAAGAGCCCTGAGGAGTCAGCAGGGAGTGGGAATAGCTTTCCAGTTTAAAAGCAAAATCGTTCCAAGAATCATCAAAGCAGGTTCAATGGAGAGACGTTTCTATGATGGCTGATATGGTGACAATAGTATCCTCATTAGTCTTTTTACTCCTTGACCTGCTTTTTTTTTTAATTTAGTCACAGCAACAAAGAAGAGAAAAGCCATGAGTATATTTAGAAAAATGAAACTGGAGGTTATTGCTGTAGGTGTGCGTCTGTCCCACTGCCATGCAGAGGGACCAGGTACAGAGCTGTGTGCGGGGAGGCCCCTCCTGGGCTTCAGGCAGGCGGGGTAGGCTCTGCTTGGGCCCAGAGAGATTTGTCTTATTCTTGTCTTTCTTTTTAAGCCTTAATAATCACAATCCTCTTTATAATAATCCTACAGGTAGAGAGACCCACATGGTGGCCCTCCATCCCCAGCTTCAACAACTTTTGACAGTTTGCCCATCTTGTTTCATTTACTTTTCCAGCCCCAATTTTTTTGAGGTTGGAGTATTTTAAAGCAACTTCTAAACCGTTTAGACTCCAGTTATAAACACTTCAGCATTTTGAAAATAGAGCTACAATGATATTATTACAGTAACAAGATTAACAAAAACTACTTAAAATCATTTAGTTCTCATTCCATATTCAATTTCCCTGATTATCTAAAAAATGTCATTTTAGGGGCCAGCCGAGTGGTGCGCTGGTTAAGAGCTGGCTTGGGACGCCAGCTCTGAGCAGCAGGGCCCAGGTTTGGATCCCACATGAGGGCCAGTGACACCGCCTTCTACAGCTAAGATGGTGAACAACAGCTTGACCTGGAGTTGGGCTGTCGTGAGTTGCCAGCAATGGCATAGACTGCAGTGAAGCTGCACTGGGCTGCCTTGAGCTACTGTGTGTGGCTGGCAGCTAGCATGAGTGGCTGGCAGTTGGTGTGAGCTGCCAAGAGCCGCTGTAAGTGGCCGTCCAGAGGCCGGCGACTGATCTGCCTCACCTAGGAAGAGTGCAATGATAATACCAAGGGGGGCCAGTGAAGCAACGTCCTCCACAACTAGACTGAAGAGCAAAAGGACAGCAACTTGTCTGTTCCCCTTCCCCAATTCCCCAACGCTGTTCTCTGCCCCCAATTCCCCAATAAAATCTTTTAAAAAATAAATAGTAAAATTAAAAATGTCATTTTAAAGTTTATTTGTTCATTCAGGATCAAGACAAGATCCTCCCATTGCATTTGATCAATATTTCTAGTATGTCTTTGAAAGCCTGTAACAGTTTCCACCCAGAAGGGTTTTAAGGCTTCAAAAGGCTTAGTGCCCCACACCTGGCAACATCCTTCCTGCTCTTCTGTCCAAGCCCCAGGAAGCCCACCCTGATTCCCCTTGCAGAGGGAGGTGAGAGAATGGAACGATCTCAGGGAGGGAGCCTGCTTCCCCAGGACAACAGAAGATGGCTGCCAGTGTTCTGGTAGACAGTCCAGCAGAGAACCCGTGGAGGAAGAGCAGAAAGGAAAACCTAGCTTTGTTCATCAGTGCAGAGGGCTGTCAGCCCCCTAATGTGGTTAACAGGCCAGGGACTGCCTGACCTAAACAGAGGAGGAAGGGTCACTACAATCAACAGTCCCTTGATTGTTGTAACTGACTGCAAACTTGAAGCTGGTAATAATATCTGCAATTCCAGGTAAAAGGAAGGCAAGCCCTGGTCTGGTACAGGATGTGGGGTTTCACGAGGCAGGGAAGTGAATCCTGGAGGGAGGCTGAAGGATCTGACATTAAAACCCTCTCAAAGGAGACTGACTGCCAATTCACATATCAGATGGAAGATGAGAAGACTGGGTTGTTTGTAGCTCTTTTTATAATAAGAGACCTGAAAGCATTTTACAGAGCAACAGGTGGGACATCTGCAGTGGCAGCTGTCCTTGTGCTCAGCACTGCCTCCTGAGTAAGGGCAAGACAGATTTGGAACTTACTATTATTATTTAGTTAGCATAATGCTGTGACATATGTTGTACTAATAAATGATATGTTAATAATGGTTTTACAGCACAGGATGTAATAAAACCTTAAATGTATACAGAATCCACCTTCCAAAGGACACAAAAACACTGCTGAAACATAATTTATTTAACCTTATACTATTATTATGAGGAAATCAGGAGCAGAATTGCCCCCAGATGATAATTGCTAATGCTTAAGTACAGAGACAAGAGGCATATAGCAATGCAAGGAATTATAGTGTCTACCTGTAGAGGAAAATTGGAGTCATTGGTCCCTAATACAGGCTACTTTCCCATGTCTTTAGAATTTGGGTCTCTACCCTCCAACCTCTCCACCTCAGGGTTAGGCAGTGGGACTGGTACCTGTTGTTTCTGGGTTGGGGTAGGCGCTCTTATCCTCATTTTCATTGGGCTGAAGATCATCCATGTTGATCTGGGAAGCCAAGGGGGAGAGGAGGGAGAATCCAGTTAGATATGTTCCTTAGTTTTACAGGCTTGGAGTTGCCCTGAAATTGCACTGTAGTCCATTCTTAAAGAAAATAACCCTTGACTGTGGGGCTTTTGGTGGGCATAGGGGGCTGGCAGGGGCAGGACATGCATGGGTAGAGTTCCCCACAGAGACAGCTCAATGGTGACTCACTGTGAGGGATGTTGAGCTGCTGACTTGCAAATGTATCCTTATTACTTTGCAGAGACCCTTCAAGACATTAACAGAAGCCTGGGATTCAAACACTCTGCCTGCTCTTCCGTCCCCAGCTCTCCTGCTCCACCCTCGTCATCGTTAGTCCACTGAGTCTCCTTCTTTCCTTGCTCCTTTCCATGGGCATCTGGCCTGGGAAGACTGTGCCCTCCTCCCTCAGCAAGGGCCCTCCCAGCTCCTGGACGGAGGTGGCTACTCACCTTGGTGGCGGGCGGGGACTCTCCATCAGCTGTAATGGATTTCAGCTCGATTTTCTCCTCCTTGGTCTCCTCTACGGCCGCCTTCTCCAACACCTCTGGTTTTTTCTCTGGGCTGGCAGTCCTGGCCGGTCAGCAGGAGAAAGAAATAAAGGATGTTTACTGAGTGACAGGGAGCAGTGATGGAGAACTACCCTGTGGTCTCTTGGGGGCCAGTGGGAGCAGATTCCCTGGGCCTATATCCATCTTCCTTCACCCAAGGCCCATGTCATGTGCAGCTTAAGCACAAATGTTATTTGGCTGGGCCCAGGCCCCAGGCCCCTGGCCACACATTGCTCTGTCTGGCACTTGGTTGGCCTGCTCCAGTTCCTATCTAAATAGAGAACGGTTCTGGATCTCATTCAGGATTGGCTCCTGGAGAAGTCTGCTCAGTACCCAGCCTATATATGGCCTGTGACAGTCCCATCTAGACAACGATGGAAGATAATGTAGGGCTACTTCACCTACTCAACACTGGAGACAAATGATCAAACAGTGAGGAGGAGCCTCTTTTTCAGCTGGAGCTACATTTCTCCTCTGAGTGGCTGCCTCCCCCTCCCCTTGTCCTTTGCTCTCATCACTTGTGATAACCTCTCTTCTCAAAAGAGAATCCCCCAGCTTCCTAGACAGGTGGGAAAACGCAACATCTTCACTGACACTCTAATACACGATGGTCCCGACTTTAGAGCAATGCCCGGGAATTAGGGGAGAGGTCTAAGTACCTCTAGGAAGCCCCAAACCCAGTGCCCTCTGGGAGGGACAGAGGCCATGCACACACCTCTCTTTACCATTAGTGGGCATGGCATGCCAGAACTGGGCCTTGGGGCCTGGGCCTGGGTTAGCTTAGAAGGTTACCTGGCTAGCTTCTTTCTCTCCTTCTCTTCCTCTTCCTCCTTTTGGGCAGATGTGAGGCTCTCGGCATCGGCCAGGTTATCCACGGCAATGGCCAAAAACACGTTCAGTAGGATATCTGTTTGTGTCCGTTCTTAAAGAAAATGACCCTTAGCCTTGGGGGTTTTGGTGGGCATAGGGGTGGGCAGGGGGCAGGACATGCAGGGGTAGAGTTCCCCCCAGAGAGAGCTCAACAGGGCTCTAAGGCCCAGGGCTGCTAAGCCCAGGGCTGTCCCTCTTCCCCTCCTTCCCCTCTCCATCACCATACTAGTTATCTGGAGTTTTCTAAGGAAAGTAGCCCAGCTTGCAGGCTAGAGGGGCGGAGTGAGGCAGTGAGCCCTGCCTTGCTCTTTTAATTGCTGGGTTTCATTATTGGTTTCCCCACGGAGACGACTGGCTGTAATTGACATTATAAACAGCATTGTCTCTAGCAGGATGCAGAATGCTCTTAAGAGCTGTTCATTATGACTGGGCACTGAGGAGGCAGCCTGGTAACTCTGCCAACCCTTAATGTGAACTGTGCATACAGAGACCCTTGGAGGGTCCAGTGAAACTGGCCAAAGCTTGGGAACTCCTACCTGAAGCGGCTGCTTGTTCCTCTCCCCTCCCCTGCCCCCAACCTTGAATGGAAACACTGTGGGCCAGAGAACTGCAGAGCCAAAGAAAATCTAGCTGAAAGGGGTCTTATATCTGACCTCCGCCCCCAGGCACCCAACAGTCATACCATTTCACACACAGAGAAACCACAGCGCAGGGGGAGAGGGCTTGTCCTTGGGCTGCTGGACATCTGCCCTTGGGCCTGTTCCATTAAACTCACAATGACCAGGAAGTAGTAGGTACTATTATTTTATTGCCCTAGATTACAGATCCTGAGGTGGCGAATCTCTTGTTTGCCAAGGTCACCCAGCCCATCTGTGGGGTCAGTGCCATGCTTTCTGCATGAAGCTGCAATTTAAACCTAAATCTTGGGCCGGAGCTGCTTTGACTCTCCCGCCCACCTATGCACACAACCCTCACAGATTTGTGACCAGGGGAGAGAAGAGCACCTGCATTTGAGACCCCAAAACATGCCATGGGGCTGTCAGGTCTGCTTGGTGAAGCCTGACCAGTTCTGTGGCTTCAGAGGGAGGGACACTGACTAGAAAGCAGGGAGGAGAGATGAAGATCATTTCAAGGATGAGGCTCAGTCAACTATGCCTCCTACCTCCATCAGACACAACAGCCCAGGGCAGCCTGGGCACCCACATCTAGGGGCATTCACATCTGAGTCTATGTGAGTGGCTGGACCAACAGTGCTAGGGGGTGTTGTTCACCTATGATAAGAACACCCCTCCTGGAGTCGGGTCACACTGCAGCCAGAACAACATAGAAAGAGGAACCTATGCTAAAGCTCCCGGCTTCCACCAAGACCCACGTCCAACTAAGGTGGTTCTGGGCTGGGAGATGTTCTGTTCCCCAGGACATGCCTTTCCCTGCTTGCCTGGAGGACCTGTGGATGGGCGACCCCAGTTCTCAGCCCTGAGTCAGGACCTGCAGGCACACCTGTTTGGCACCATGCTGTAGGCTGAGGGAGGGTGGGCAGCAGGGGTGGGGAGGCAGGAACAAAGGATACAGTTTCCACAGATGAAGAGGATGATGAAGTAAATACAGACTAACATCCCTGGAAAAGAGGGGCCGCCATAAGCCATGATCCCATCATACATCACCGAATTCCAGTCCTCCCCGGTCAGGATCTGAATGACACATTCCCACCAATAAGGGACACAGCGTTAGACCAACAGCAAACCCCAAAACTCCCCTGCCCTGCTCCACTATGTTTATAAAAATGCCTGAAATCTCCTATCTCTATCACCCTGCTGGCCCCCAGTGCTCCTCCCAGGGGCTTTAAGGACCTGGCAAGTTGATCTTATCCTTCAACAAAGGACATGGTCACTGGCAGCTTTTATTTGAGGAGTGACTGAAAGGGCTTCCTGGTCAAAATATCTCCTACGACCCACATACCATGCATGGAATGGCCACCACTAGCCATTCCCTGGATTAGGGCATCAAGGGCCCCTTTACAAATGTGACTGTGTTCACTGAAAGACTGTTTGTTGCTCCCCAAAACATTAGTCATCTGGGAACCATCTTTAAGATTCTGGCAACATCCACATATTATTCATTTTTATCTGCAAGTCAATCTACTTTTAAACTTAAATGAGTGCTGCTTTAGCTTGGCCCTAAGCCAAAGTATCTATGAAATCACAAATTTGATGGGCTAGTTATAGTTTTCTAGGGACAAGCATGGTGGGTAAGACAGAGCAACAAAAGCAGTCTGCTTTTATTTGTTTCTATTTTGAGCTTTCATGTAGAGTTTATTTGAATCAGGGGTTCCATGGCTAAGAAAGCGTTCTGAAGCCTCTCAATTAGATCCTTTTTCAATGGTCCACCCAACAGTGGAATTCCATGGGGGCGCTGGGAGTAAGGGAAACTATTAAGAGTGCCAGGTTCCTGGGCATGGACTCCCATGGCTGGTCTAGCTGGCCTTGGCTGCCCAGTGCAGGGCGAAGCCTCCCACCACCCTCAAGCCTCCTGCTTCCTGCTCTCCTCCCCCACACCAACCACCCTGAGTCATCACCTCAGCAGGGGAGGGTCTGTACCTGAAACACGGTGAGGAGGGATTGGGGAAAGTTATCAAACGTGCTCCTCCGGGTCTGCATCTCGTCAAAGTTGAACTTCCCTCCAAACAGCTGCATCCCCAGGAGGGAGAAGATGATGATGAAGAGAAAGAGGAGTAGCAGTAGGGAGGCGATGGATCGCACAGAGTTCAGCAAGGATGCCACCAGGTTGCTCAGCGAGTTCCAGTACCTGAGGACCACATGAGCCATCAGCACCTCTCCTGCACTTCCTTCACTTTACTCCTCATTCTCACCCACCAGGGTTTCAGACCCATTTCAGCTCCCTCCTCTTTTTCCTGGGGGTAGTGCTGGTGGTAGACCTGGGCTGGTAAGCCCCCAGTTGGAGTGTGCAGCTAGTTTGATTCAAGGTCCCAGGATCAACAGTGCACAGTGGAGAGGAGGCGGAGCTCAGGATCATAAACCTGAGTTCTGACCCAGCTCTGTGAGCTCCTAGCTGTGTGTGCCTTTGGACAAGTCACTGAACGTCCCTTCTTTCTGCCTCTCCATCTGAAGAAACAGGCACAGCAGTATCACACATTGCATTAGGTTATTGGGAGGATTACATCATGTAATCAAAAAAGAAAAAAGCCCCCAGTATAGTGCCTGGTGCACAGTTGATAAAGGTTAGTTATTGTGGTTACCACTATTGGTCTTTAGACAAAAGAACACTTCCCCACCCAAGGAATGCTGCCTAGCCCAGGTGCAGCTGTCTAGCAGAGGTATGAGTTAGGTCACCCATGGGTTAAGAGAGGGTGTGTGGCTTAGTGAAGTTACCCAAATTTACCCTATCCAAAAAATTGTTTTTTCTAAAAAAGCCTCTCTTCTGAAGATAGCTGTAACCTGGGGCCCAGAAACCTGTATTTTTAACAAGTATCACAGAGGATTCTGATCAGCAAGCACGTTTGGGAGAAACCCTGTCCCACCCACAGGACAGTTCGGGGCAGACGGGCTGTTGGTGGGGGCTTCTTGGAGAAGAGGCCCCCACTCCTTAGGTCACCAACCTTCCCTCCATTGTAAATACACCCAAATGCCCTTGATTATAGCATGGGAAAATCCCTTTCTCTTAGAAAGGGGTGGGGGCTACTCATGGCTGCTGGATGGCATGGATACCTGTGACAGAGTCAGTTCTGGATAGGGAAATGCCCTGTGGCAAAGGGGACACAGCCTTGGGCTGGAGCAAGTGTGGGAGCAGAGAAATCTCAGTCCCTGCAGCCCCACCTCCCACCCCACTGCCTTCCAGGTCACCATCTGGATTTCCTCCACTTAAGACACTCCCAGCTTATTACCACAAATGCAGTAAATTGTTTTTGTCACTTAAGAGAGTGACACGCGAACCACCCCCCTGATAGCCTCAAAGCTGCACCCCCAGCCTCGCAGTTCTCTCCAGAGAACTGTTACATATTAAGTGACAGAACCAGATGGGCCAACAGTTTGCACGTAAACGTGAACTTCTTCCCAACCTGGAGGCTTTAATGCTCCTTTCTCCTTCACAGATCTGGCCTTTTCCCACCTCTCTTGACTGCCAGTCACACTCCATGTTTGCAGAATATTAATATACATTTAGTTCTATCTGTTCTATAAATGCTCTTAAGTGATTTTCATCTATGACAGTCCTGTCTCGCCCGAAATGGCTCTGAGTTCTCAAGGGCAGAGACCAGAGGTTTTTTTTTCCCCTGCCATTCTCTCCATTTTTGTCCCCAAATAAATTCTGTCTAACCCAGTATGGTTGATGGACTTCCTAGTGCCCCAGTATACTACAGGTTGTAGTAACTGTTCTGTTTAAAACAAGAAGCTGGGGAGCCTCTCTGGGGCTAGAGCACCCTTCCCTCTTTCACCTAAAGGAGTGTTTCCAAGTGTGCTGGAGATGAAACTGCTGAAGAGAGGACTGGTTTTTTCTAAATACTGATTCCCAGTCTTCCCCAGAACCACGAGCTCATAATCTCCAGGGTTGCGCCTGGCATGGTTCTCATGCAGCCACTCCAACGCCTGTCAGTCAACTGGTGTTTAGGAACCAGTAATGTGAGAGCATATTTTAATGAGAATTCCCAGCTGTATCAGATGGGAGTGTGTCTGCATGTGGATAAGGTCACAGAGCCCCCTAGAGAGCCTCTGTGTGTTCAACTATCAGGGAATATTCTGAAAAAATTCTTACTGGTTATGGAAGTTTGGAGCCTTAAATTTATGAGGCACATGGACAAACTGGGCTTACAGCTGAGGTTGAGAGCTGTCTGACAGCCATGGGCACCTTAAGGGGAGTGCATAAGGAGGCCCCAGGCTCGACAGAGGCAGTCACCACGCAAGGGGAATGCTTTGTCAGAGGAGCATACTAGGCATCAGAGAGGGAAGGTGAGGTGGGAGGGGCCCCTGGAGTGTCTGCGGTTCTGGGGAAGCTAAATCTGGGGTGGAGAAACAAATGAAGTCATCCAGTGGAGGAGAATGCTTCTGGAAACGCTGGGTGGCAAACAGTGAGTATTCTAGAGGGGCTGGCAGGGGAGCAGGTGTGAAAGCCTTGATGGTCAAGAGGGGTCAGGATGGGGCAGAGCATTTGATCAAAAGTGAGAACTTTTCTCATGCCCGCCCATGCACCTTGCCACCCCACCCCAGGGGTGTCCTGGGAAAGTCTGTACTTCTCTTAGTCAAGCAGGGGTCTTGTAGTATGACAGAACTCCTAATTCTCCACCCATCATCTCCCCCATCTTAGTAGATGACAGCAGCAGTTTCTGGCTCAAGTCCAAATCCTGAAGTCATCCTTTGCACCTCTCTCTCACACCCCACATCAGCATGTCCTGTGGCTTCATCTTCAAAGTGAAGCCTGGATTTGGCCACTGCCTACTACTCTCACCCAGCCCCAGCCACCAGCACCTCTCTTCTGGATTTCTGCCTCCTAACAGGGTGCCCTGTTTTGACCATGGTTCCCTCCAGCTTTTCTCCACACCACACATGCTTCAGGTGCAAAGCTTAAAATGTACCACACATGCATTCTTTTTTCTAGCAACAGTGATGGATTACAACACATTAAAAAACAATCTAGGGCCGGCCGAGTGGCGCGATGGTTAAGAACTCGCTTGGGATGCCAGAGGGCCCCGGTTCGGATCCCACATATGAGGGCCAGTGACACTGCCCTCCACAGATAAGATGCTGAACAACAGCTCAATCTGGAGCTGGGCTGCCATGAGTCGCCAGCGACGGCGTAGGCTGCAGCCCCTGTGGCAGTGGGTGGCCATGGGCTACCGTGTGTGGCCATGGGCTACCGTGTGTAGCCAGCAGCCAGCGTGAGCGGCCAGCAGCCGCAGTGAGTGGCCGTCCAAGAAGCTGGCGACTGATCTGCCTCACCAGGGAAGAGCACAATGACGGTGCCAACTTGGGCCAGTGAAGCAACATCCTTCACAACTAGATTGAAGAACAAAAATGACAGCAACTTGTCTGTTCCCCTTCCCCCAATTCCCCAGCACTGTTCCCATCCCCCCAATTCCCCAATAAAAATCTTTAAAAAAAACAAAAAACAAAAAAACAAAAAAAAACAATCTAAATCCACCGATGTAAACAAAGGAGGGGGGTTTTCTTTACAGAATTATCAAATAAATAATGTGAATAAATGATACTTTTTGCAGCAGTAACTAATTCAGGTAAAGATTGTGGATGCTAAAACAAGTAGGTGAGAGGTCGTTGGGGAGAAAGGTATTCATACAGTCTCAAAGTATCAATCCACAGATTACTTATTAATTACAAGGGAAAGGGAACCTTAATGGGAGAAACCTGAGAAACGCCCGCCAACTGATATTACACACTTCCTGATGTAATGCAGTGGAAAGTGCACATGCCATCTATGTACCCCATGACACAGTCACAGGATGCCCTGTTAAAACATGTCACACCAAGCCTGAGCCCGGCTTTAAGCCCTCAAAAGGCTTCCCATGGAAGGCCTAATGGCTCCTGTGGAATTGGCCCCCACCGCGGCCCCCAATGTGTCAGGGAGCTCGTCTCCCGCCCTGCCCCTCGTTCTCCAGCCCACTGGCCCCCTCACTGTCCCTCCTGCCCTGATCCCTGCTGCCTCTGGTCTCTGCAGAACTCTTCCCCAGAGCTGTGCATGGCTCACTACTTCAGTCCCTGCAGGCCTCTGCTCAAATGTCCCCTTGCCAGAGAGGTCCTCCGACCACCACTCTCCCCGCCACCAGGATGTGAGGCCTGAGGGAGCAGGGACTTTATCTGCTTGCTCACAGCCTTAGTGTTCAGAACAGTGCCCAGCCCAAAGGAGGAGAACAGTGAATATTTTGTTGAATGAATGATTGAATCTTACTACAAGCGTGACTCATTTGTACTTACTGGAGGGAAAGGCAAAGGGATATGGGGTTACACAGACGCTTCTCTGTGTGGTGTGGTGGGAACAGGGTGGAGTGGTGGTGGGACCTCTCGCATATGCATACTTTGCCTAGTAGTGAGGAGTGGCTATTTGCATCTCCTCCACATGATTTCTTTTCCGATAGCTTCCCTAAACCCATGGGTAGAGTTTCTGAGATTCCTGACTGTTCCATTGCCAGACCACATGTCAGATGATTATGTAGCAAGAGAACAGATTGCTGGTTGCTGGTTGGGGTAGGTGAGGAGGGGGGGGTGAAATGCATGAAGGGGGTCAAAGGGTACACATTTCGGTTATAAAAAAAATCAGTCCTGGCGATGTCATGTACAGCGTGGTGACTATAGTTAATACTGTGTTGCGTATTTGCAAGTTGCTAAGAGAGTAAAATCTTAAAAATCCTCTCATCCCAAGAAAAAAATGTAACTATGTGTGGTGACATTTGTGAACTATACTTATTGTGGTATCATTTCATAATACAGCAGTCCCCCCATACCCCCGCCCCCTCCCCCGGCAGATCCCTGAAACTACAGATAGTACTGAACTCTAAATATACTATGCTTCCCTATGCATAAGTACACTTTACAGCTTCTCTTGGGTGTATCCAAATTGTCAGCATCACTATTCTTGAGTTTGGGGGCCGTTATTAAGTAAAATAAGGGTGGCTTGACCACAAACACTGTGATACCACTGCAGTTGACCTGATAACTGGGCTGGCAACTAAGTGACTAACGGGTGGGGAGTGGATACAGCGTGGAGACACTGGGCAAAGGGATGATTCACGTCCGGGGCTGGACAGAGCAGGACAGCATAAGATTTCATTACACTACTCAAAA